ATTGATGTTTCTGTCTCTCTCTCCCTATTTATTTATTTATTTATTTATTTATTTATTTATTTATTTATTTAATAAATATGTCTTTATCTGTCTTTATTTATTAATAAATATCTGTCTTTGTACAATTGTACTTCTGATCTGAGATCCTTAACTTCACTTGTGTGCTCAGTGAATTCTTTTTTGTTTTTTATATATATATTTTTATTAATTTCAGAGAGGAAGGGAAAGGGAGTGAGAGACAGAAACCTCAACAATGAGAATCATTGATCAGCTGCCTCCTGCACGCCCCTATTGAGGACCGAGCCCACAATCCAGGCATGTGTCCCTGACCTACCGGGAATCAAACCGTGAACTCTGAGTTCATAGGTCAACATTCAATCACTGAGCCACAGCAGTCAGGCCCAATCATGGATTGGGTTTCTGGGGAAGGCTTAAGTTGGAATAAGAGGTTCCACATCTAAAATACTTATAACTACTGTATAGCAGGTAGAGGTTATGTCATGGAATCCTGGCCTTCAGAGGCCTGCACACCTGCACTTCATCATCCCTCTCATGGACTCTGGTCATTGCTCTCTCCCTGGGTTCGTCCCGATGTTCCTCACTAGCTGACAGTATTCTGTCTGAATCCATTCCCTGGTACCTAGTCATTCTGATCAAATTCTTCTTTCTCAGAGTCAAAGGAAAAAAGTTATTGGCATTTTAGAATTTTAAAGCATGCCTGGAGGAATTTTGGTACTCAAGGCATCACTGAAGAAATCCTGCTTTCTATGGATGAGAGATGAAGTTAATTTTCTGCTCAACCTACTTAGAAAACGGGGAAATTAAAATAACTGAGACAATATATTTTCACCCAAAAGGTGGACCAAAATTTAAAAGGCTAATAAAATGAAACACCTGTGAGTGTAAATTATTTACATATATTACCATGTAAGAATATGAATCAGCATAGCTTTATTAGAACAGAATTTCAGCAATACTCATAAAACTTTGCAATCATATTATCTCCACTTTAATCCAGTTTGCTCTTTGCTGTCTTTGCTTGAAGAAAGCATACATATTTGCCCAAGAATTCGTGTCAATGATGTTGATTTCAGTTCCATTAAACACAGTAACAAATGGCAAACAACATATGTGTGCATCCAGAGGAAAATGATTAAATTAATGATGATGGCATATACACACTTTAGAATTTTAGGGAGTAGTTAAATGATGGATCCATATGTGCTCTCACTGAGAGATCCTGCATTCATTTTAGTAAGTGACAAAGGCAAGAGACAGACCAATATGTACACTATTATGCATGTATATTAAAAAGTCACAATGTATTTTTATAACACATCTATGTAAGGATAAGCCTAGAATACATTTTAAGATAACAAAGTTTTTAGTTAAAAAATAGTCCAGCGGTGTAAAGTACAGCATAGGGAATATAGTCAATAATCTATAATAATAAAAGCATAATATGCTAATTAGACCAGACGTCCTTCCAGACAACCTTCCAGATGAAGTCAGAGCTGTGAGGGAAGCCCGGGTCTCCGGTGCTGGAGGGAAGCCAGTGCCAGCAGCGGGGGAAGGAAGGCCTACTCTTGCACGAATTTCATGCATTGTGCCTCTAGTATTTTAATAACTATGTGTGGTGCTAAGGAGGGTACTGGAATTATTGGGGGGATCACTCTATAAATCATATAAATGTCTAACCACTATGCAGTACACCTGAAACTAATATAAAATGATATTGAATGGCAATTGTAATTGAAAATTAAAACATTTTTAAAAACAAAGTAACACAAAATTTTAATTGTGGTTACTTCTGAGGAGAGGAATGACTTTTAGAGGGATGTAATAAGGAAAGAAAATTGTGATTCATTCATGCTGTTGGAAGTTTGGAGCAATGAGACTATTTGCACTATGACCTAAAATCAGATTTTCTCTCTGAAAAAACAAAGACACAAGTGGCAGTGGAAGAATGTTGACTTTTTCCTTTTCTTACCAAGGATATCATCTCTGTCATGGAGCCATTTTCTGGGTTTTTAGAAAGTCTATCTACATAGACTCCTAGATTTTTAGAAATTCTGTCTATGTAGATGTTGTCTCAGTGGTTTCTACGATCTTTTCTCATCTGCTCTTTACAAAAGAGGCTTTAGTTTTGACCAACAAGGTAAACTCATTTATTGGCCTATGTACTCTGTGGCCAATCCCAAAGAATTCAGCCCATTAAAATTCTACTACAAAGAGCCAGTAGATTCTATGCCAAGTCAGACTGTAGTAATCAGCAGATTGAAAACCCTGAGAATGTGATGGAGGCAGCCAGAGGGGTTGAGGAGAGGTGTGCAAACGTCCCCATCTGAAGTGAGGAATTGCATGGAAAGGGCCGCTGCTGTCAGAGGGGTCCACAGTGAAGGAGGGACTCTGCAGGGAGTTGGGGTGCTCCAGGTTGGGGAGGCAGGGGGCATGCGCTGTGTGTTCAGGGGAGCAGGGTGCAGCCTGCAGGGGAGGATGTGGAGAAGAGCTGGATGGCAGGACAGGCTCCAGTGTGGACAGGAGGCAGGCACACTGGGAAGACCCAAGGGAAGGGCGCTATAATGCAGGAAAGGGCTGGGACTGGACACTTGTGCTGGGCTCAGGGCAGTCAGCTATCAAGGAGCCAAGGGGGTGGGTAGGGGCTCTCCGGGAGCCTCAGGGGAGGGGGCAGGAGGTCCCTGGGTAAATGAACCACAGACAATCCCTACATTGTGCTTCATTCTCATTTTCACCCCTTCTTCAGGCTTGCTCTCAGTACTTTAGCCACAGGCCTCTGCTTCCTACCATCTGAGAAACATCATGGAATAGTGAGAAGAGAAATGAATGAATAGACACAAGGCTGGGAGGAGTGGAGCAGGGTGGGTTCTTCACCAATTCAGACTAGGGCTCTGTCACTCACTAGCCTTGTGAATGCTGAACCTTTCCAAACCCTCTGAGCCTCGGATTCCTCATCAATGACTTGGGCTTGGTGCCTCCTTCCTTCTGGGACTGCTGGGGTGTTTGTGGTGTGTGTAAAGCACCTGGCACAGTGACTGGTGTGCATTGCGATTGTAAAGAATGGCAATTACTACTGTGATTTTCTTGGACCTTAAATAAGACCCACCCTCCTGCTGAGATTTTTTTCTTTGTATTGTTGTTGTGTTAATCCAGGAGATATATGCAGTGCTAAAGAACAGCTAACAACTCTGCCAAAAATCCTGCTTAGCAAGAAAAAATACCTCAGCAAATCATTCCTCTTAGAGGACACAGTATTTAATTGGGATGTTAGGGGATGTCCCTCATCTGCATATAACACAAAGCTCCTAAAATGTGTATCAAAAACAACTCTCCTTTCCTCCCTCCCAGCTGCCCTTTGCTCAGAATCACCCCATTTTCCATTCATTTAAGCTCTCCCAAAATCAAGGCCTCCCTTAGAGGTTGACAAATTTTACTCAAGATAAACTAGCTAAGATGCCTTTTTATGGAGCACACCCCGTTTCTCCCAGCCCAGGGCAAGGGGCGCCAGCACAGTGGCTCCCTGGCATCCCACCCTGAGGAAGTACTGCCCTGATTTCTCAGAAACTCCCTGGAGATGAGTCTGTGCCTTGTGTTCTCCTGCTCTGGGCCCAAAGCCCAGGGCACCTTCCATGCCCGCTGCAGGGGGAGAGTTCTCTCTGCTTCATCCAGGATCCCAGTCGCTGCTAAAAGCAGTCCTCTGGAGGCTTAGCTCCTCAACTCTGAGACCCACCACGCAAGGGTCTGGCCCTGGCTCACCACACTCACACCCTCCTCTGAGGCCCCACCCGCCTCCACATAGCATCACCGCCCACTGAAAGGACTGAGGCTTCCCAAGACCCCAGGTTGTCTGCTCTTATCACAACCTCCCTCTTCTCCCCTCCTCATACTTTTCACTGGATTATTGTCTTAGAGGTATCTCACCATCTTCCTTTTACCATAGCTGGTTCTAGCTTCCATCATTCTAGGGGCAGTAGCTCTGTCTTCTTTTTCTCACCATCCTCCCCCCCCCCGCCCTCCCCGCCCCCCACCATAGAGCCTTCCCAAGAGCAGATGCTCAATTAATGTTTGAGAATTTTTTTTTTTAAAAGGCAGTAACAATTCATCATGATTTCATTTCTGTTCTGTACTTGAATAAACAAAACAAGTGCAAGTATATAACTTTTATTTTATAGAACAGCAGAACACAAGGAATAAGGGAAACCAAGAATTGATCTTTTACTTTTCTCTGGATTTTTTATCACAACTATTTTGCCACTTCTTTCTGTTACATTTCTAAGAAAATACATTTCTAATGCCATGTTGTCTTGTTCCAGATCACTATGTAAGACAGAAGGTTACTCCATTTTTTAGTAAAAAGCAAAACTCTTACTCTTAAGCCTCATAAACAACGTTAAACCCATAACCAATATCATTTGTGCACTTAGATTCTGATGTTAATTAAAATTGTTTTAATGAACATTTGAAAACATTCAGAAACAAAAAGATAAAGCAATAATTTATTAACAGGACAGGAGCACAGATATGATGTGCACTGCGTTCCCCCCAGCACTAACCAACCCCACACCATTTCAAGCACAAAGTGAGGGAAGTGCTTCCGATTTCAATACATTTTTTTAACAACTATTTTGCCACTCATTGCTGTCACATTTCTAAGGAAATACATTTCTAATGCCATGTTGTCTTGTTCCAGATCACTATGTAAGACGGAAGGTTACTCCATTTCTTCAGTAAAAAGCAAAACTCTTACTCTTAAGCCTCATAAACAACATTAAACTCATAACCAATATCATTTGTGCATTTAGATTCTGACGCTAGTTACACTTGTTTTAAAGAACAGCATTTGAAAACACTCAGCAACAATAGGTAAAGCAATCGTTTAATAACAGAACAGGAGCACAGATATGATGTGCACTGCGTTTCCCCAGCACCCCCCACCCCGCCCCCCACCACTTCAAGCCAGAGTGAGGGAAGTGCTTCAGATTTCAATACATGTGGGGGTTGCTGAAAGGGGTGCTGGAAAGATCACAGGCTGGAGAGGCAGCTCGAATCACCGCCTCGAATCTTTGGCGGGTTCTCTCCAGCTCATCCTGCAGGGCTTCTTCACACCAGTGTGGGAAGGCGCTGGGCTGGGTACCATGAAGCTTGGCTAAGAACTCCAGCACTTCCATCTTGCTGGTCTCAGCGTAGGCTTGTGGGCCCCACAGGAACTCGTGGCTCGGGGGATCACTGTCGAGCACCTGGCGGTACTCCAGGTAGCCTTCTTTCACCAGCTCTTCTGTGATGAGCTTCATGGGATCCCCGTGGAGGTTGTGCTCCTTTCCAGCATGTATGCCCATCGCATTGAGGACATCCCAGATCTCTTCCTCAGGGGCGCGGTTGCCCTTCATGAAGATCACACAGAGGATGGTCATCAGGAGGCTCTTCTTGGGCATGATCTGCCCGTGCAGACTGCTATCCCCGCTGTGATGCAGCTTGCTGACCAGGACGTAGCCGTGCCCGGCCGGGTCGGCTTCCTTCACATCAATGCCGAAGGCCAGCACCATCAGCTCAGAGGCTCTCTTGAGGATCTCCTGGAAGTAGGACTTGTGCTTCCTGACGACATGCTTCATCATGTCTTCCTTGGTGATGGGCTGCTTCATGTTATACTTGCGCAGCATGAACTGCGCCAGCAGCATCGCCTTCTGGTCTAGAGGGCTCCTGTGGGATTCATCAGACCGCGACTCTGCCTGGCAGGCACCTTCCTGGGAGGCACCTTCCTGGGAGGCACCTTCCTGGGAGCCACCTGCCTGGCAGGCACCTGCCTGGGCGGCACCTGCACTTTCCTCGCTTTGGCTCTCGCTTTGGCTCTCGGTGCTGGTGGTAGTGGTATCAAGACATGGCCACGCGATTCTTGCCTTGCGGGGAGAGCTAATGGCTGCTGCGGCTCCCTGAGGCTCCTGGGACAGCGCAGGCTCAGGGCTGCCCAGGGAAGAAACCTCAGACGAAGAGGAGGAGGAGGACTCATCTCCCTCCTCTGCAGAGGTCTGAGCACTCAGGACTGTCCCAGCCTCCAGCTGGACTGGTCTGCATCTCTCTCCGGCGCGGTGCTTACTCTTCTTCCCCCGAGGCATGATGACACTGGCCAGGGGCAGCGGGCACCTGTGTGGCAGGAGAGGAGGTGATGTGGGCCCCTGGAGGAGGGAGAGTGAGATGGCGTGTGCGCCCTCAGCAGGGACATAGCACCTGGACCTTAACCCCGGCCATGTCTGCAGGGTCTGAGGGCAGTGATCCAGGCACCCACAGGGCTCCTGCTCCGCCCTACGACCCTGCAGAGGAAGTGAGGGTGCACCTTGGGCTGAGAGCAGGACTCTGCGGGTCCCCTGTGTTCTGAGGTGGAGGATCCTCTCCTTCACAGGATCATCCTGTGGACCCACTGTTGGCAGGGCCCGGCCTCCTCCCCTCTCCACTGTGAACTAAACTCCTTACCCCAATGGCCTTACCCCTGTGAGACCTGGGGGAAGTGAGGGAGAGCCCTACCTCATCACCCTGCTGGCATGGGCTTCTAGAGCTACATCAGGAGCAGTGTCTTATGGGATCTCTCTTTTTTCTTTATTTACAAAAGTATTAAATATGTGTCCTGATACCACAATTGCCCCCCCCTCCCAATCATGCCCTCACCACCCTGGTGTCTGTGTCTATTGGTTAGGCTTATATGCATGCATAGAAGTTCTTTGTTTGATCTCTCCCCCTTACCCCCGCTCTCCCCTATCTTCCTTCTGGGGTTTGAACTTCTGATCCATGCTTCTCTGTCTCTGGATCTGTTTCTATTCATCAGTTTATGTTGTTCATTTCATTTCACAAATGAGTGAGAATATGTTATTTAATTGCTTAAAATATTACATATAATATTACACATCTTTTCGCCCACTTGACCTCCCCCCGTTAACACCCATCCCCCAGCACATGCCCTCACCTCCCAGGGTCTGTGTCTATTAGTTATGCTTATATGCATGCATACCAGTCCTTTGATTGATCTCTTATACACCCCTACGGGATTCCTGGTCCTAAGCAATTACTAGGGTTTTCAGTCCACACTTTTGAGGCCACACCCATTAGAATAAAACCCCATACACAGTAGACCAAGCCTCCCCAATTGCATGAGACTAAGAACTCCCCATTATACCAAGACCTCCCACCACCATTAAACAAAGACCCCTCCCCGATTAGAACAAGAAGAAAGATACCCCCAACCCATCCATTAGACCAAGACTTCACTCCCACCTCCGTCCCCATCCCAGAGAGTGAGAGTCCTGCCGTTTCCTCCCCAGGTAGACCGCAGGGGCAGGGGTATGGGCCTGACAGTACCTCCGGGCGCTCCGGGTCTTCTCCTCCACTCCTTGACCACAAAGGAAGACTGGGATTTCGCTCTTTACCCGAGGCCTACCAGCCTCAGGCCCTCAGATCTCACCGCTCACTCCCTGGAAACGCCAAGACAGAAATGAGGCAATAGAGCTTTGGCGTCAACCGCCAGGCCTTGTGCGTCTGAGCACCTGGTGGGGGCGGGGCGGGGCGGGGCGGGCCACGCGGGGGTCCCGCGCTGCATTCTGGGAAGTCCCCGTGGTTGGGAGCCTGGGAGTCCCCTTTCCGCAGGTCTGAGAGCCCGCACCTGGATGCTCAGCATCGCTTCTCTCCTCCAAGACCTGGGACCCTGGAGGGGGAAGTCAGCTAATAGCTTTGCTTAGTTGATGTGTGATCACATAGTATACAAATTGAAACAATAACTGTGATTTGGACCCAAACAGAATCCAGGTACAGCATTTACTCAGGTCTCAGGAAATGATCCTGATGAGTTTGAATGTGTCCTCCTCCTCCTTAAAGGAGGCACACTTGTTACTAAGTGTCCATAGTTATGGAAACTCACTTTGAGAGAATAGCTAATGTACCCCTCAGGGCTGGGTTGAGGAGGGTGGCTTCCAGATTCAACTGTGCCATTCTGTCTCCATAAATGTGGGGAAATCTCTTCACCTCTCTGACCTTAGTGTCGTTTTCTCAAACATGCCAAGCAAAACATCTTCAATTCTATGGGAACTAGGTACCCACGGGCACGGCACAAACATGAACATAACCCACAGTAGTCCACAGTGATGCTAACATTGAAATGTTCCCCAAATTATACACCCCATGTCCTACATAAGCATGCAACATTAATGTAATCATAAAAATGAAAACTGTCCCCATGATTTAAAAGATCCATTCTGGAATAGTAGGCTATAAGAAATTCAATAGTTAGGTAGCCAGATATCCAAATACTCTCAAATAAGAGAATCATATGAACACAGATATTAACAGATAAAATGAAGCAGTCACTAGCCATCAACGTATCTGTAATTTCCCAGTAGAATATATTCACCAGCTACTGCAAAGCTTCTCTTGGAACTTTAGTGGTGGGAAACCACAATTTTCAAAATTATCCTTAACAGTCAGCAGTAGACTTTTTACTCTATTTATTGAGAATGTAATTTTATTTTTATAAATTTTTTCTTTATTGATTCAGGTATTACATATGTCATCAACTCCAACAGACCCCCAACCCCACTCATGCCCTCCCCCTCCCCAGTGTCTGTGTCTATTGGTTCTGCTTATATGCATGTATACAAGTCTGTTGGTTGATCTCCTACACCACCCATGGGATTCCTTAGTCCTAAGTAATTATTAGGGTTTTCAATAAACACTTATGTGGGCACCCCCATTAGACCAAGACCACCACCCCCATTAGACCAAGATTTCCCACTTCCATGGGACCAAGGAACCCCACCCCCATCAGACCAAGATACCCCATCTCCATCAGACCAAGAACCCCAACTTCCATTAGATGAAGACCCCCGTTAGACCAAGAACCCACTTTAGACTAAGAGCTTCCCACACCCATTAGACGAAGAACACCCACCTCCATTACACCAACCGCCCCCATTAGACCAAGAACTTCCCACCCCAATTAAACCAGAAACCCCACCTCCATTAGAACAAGAACCCCCACCTCCATTACACCAATAACCCCCACCCCATTAGACCTAGAACCCCCACCTCCATTAGAACAAGAACCCCCAACCACATTTGACCAAGACCTTCACACCCATTAGACCAAGACCCTTGTCACCCATTAGAGTAAGACACCCAACCCCGATGAGACCAAAATTACCCTCCCTTATTAGACCAAACACCCCACTCCCATTAGACCAAATCCCCCTATCCCCATTAGACTAAGAACCCCCACCTCCATTAGACAAACACACCCAACCCCTATTAAAAAAAGCCTCCCCAACCCTATTAAACCAAACTCCCCCAATCCCATTAGAGCAAAACCCCTACCACCATTAGACCAAGAACCCTCACCACCGTTAGACCAAGCCCCCCATCCCTATTAGACCAAGACCTCCCTGCCCCCATTAGACAAGACCCGCCCCCCATTAGACCAAGCCTGGCCCTGAACCCATCCGAACCCATCCATTAGACCAAGACTTCACTCCCACCTCCGTCCCCATCCCAGAGAGTGAGAGTCCTGCCGTTTCCTCCCCAGGTAGACCGCAGGGGCAGGGGTATGGGCCTGACAGTACCTCCGGGCGCTCCGGGTCTTCTCCTCCACTCCTTGACCACAAAGGAAGACTGGGATTTCGCTCTTTACCCGAGGCCTACCAGCCTCAGGCCCTCAGATCTCACCGCTCACTCCCTGGAAACGCCAAGACAGAAATGAGGCAATAGAGCTTTGGCGTCAACCGCCAGGCCTTGTGCGTCTGAGCACCTGGTGGGGGCGGGGCGGGGCGGGGCGGGGCGGGCCACGCGGGGGTCCCGCGCTGCATTCTGGGAAGTCCCCGTGGTTGGGAGCCTGGGAGTCCCCTTTCCGCAGGTCTGAGAGCCCGCACCTGGATGCTCAGCATCGCTTCTCTCCTCCAAGACCTGGGACCCTGGAGGGGGAAGTCAGCTAATAGCTTTGCTTAGTTGATGTGTGATCACATAGTATACAAATTGAAACAATAACTGTGATTTGGACCCAAACAGAATCCAGGTACAGCATTTACTCAGGTCTCAGGAAATGATCCTGATGAGTTTGAATGTGTCCTCCTCCTCCTTAAAGGAGGCACACTTGTTACTAAGTGTCCATAGTTATGGAAACTCACTTTGAGAGAATAGCTAATGTACCCCTCAGGACTGGGTTGAGGAGGGTGGCTTCCAGATTCAACTGTGCCGTTCTGTCTCCATAAACTTTAGGAAATGTCTTCACTTCTCCGACTTTAGTGTCATTTTCTCAAACATGCCAAGCAAAACTTCTTCAATTCTATGGGTTCTAGGTACCCACGGGCACAGCACAAACATGAACATAACCCACATGAGTCCACAGTGATGCTAGCATTGAAATGTTCCCCAAATTATACACCCCATGTCCTACATAAGCAAGCAACTTTAAAGTAGTCATAAAAATGAAAACTGTCTCCATGATTTAAAAGATCCATTCTGGAATAGTAGGCTATTAGAAATTCAAAAGTTAGGAAGCCAGATACCCAAATACTCTCAAATAATGGAATCATATGAACTCAGATATTAACAGATAATATAAAGTAGTCACTAGCCATCAACGTGTCTTTAATTTCCCAGTAGAATATATTCACCCACTATTGCACAGCTTTTCTTTCAACTTTAGTGTTGGGAGACCACAATTTTCTAAACTATCAACAGTCACCAGTAGACTTTTTACTCTTTCTATTTATTGAGAATGTAATTTTATTTTTTATAAAATTTTTCTTTATTAATTAAGGTATTACATATGTGTCATTAACCACAATTGACCCTCAACCACACTCATGCCCTCACACCAGCCGTGGGCAAACTACAGCCCGTTTGAAATGAATAAAACTATTGAAAAAAAAAGGCCGTATCCTTTTATGTAATGATGTTTACTTTGAATTTATATTAGTTCACACAAACACTCCATCCATGCTTTTGTTCAGGTCATCCAGTCCAGTTTAAGAACTCATTGTGACCCTCAAGTCAAAAAGTTTTCCCACCCCTGCCTCACACCCTAGTGTCTGTGTCTGCTTATATGCATGCATACAAGTCTGTTGGTTGATCTCCTACC